GTGGCGGTTTTGCCGGAGGCCCTGCCATGGCCTCGAGTACTGGGATCCACCATTCGGCACCTGGAGCTGCACGTGCTGCTCCAAGGAGGGATAAGAGAGGGATAGGCTGGTCCCACTGCAAGCCACAGCCCGGCCGTGTCCTCGCTGCCACCTCCGTGGGACTCGCTCCGCTCCCAGTGTGAGGCTCAGGGTTGAGGACGGGAGTGATGGGGAGGGAGAGGGGCAAAGAAGGGACAGAGGGGAAGCCGAGAGCCCTGGCACCTCTGTGCCACCCCATTCCACCTGGACGGGGAGCCCAGGGAAAAGCAGCGCCATGCATATCGGTCCCATTTCCCGTTTCCAAGCTGCTCCTGCAGCATCCAGATAGTCACGCCCCAAAACCCCAGCACAAGGAAGCTCCCCCTGGCTGCCCCGGTCCCCATTCAGGGACAAGGCCAAAGGTGGTGGCATCTTGGGCGGCTTTTAACCCTCTCTAGCCAGGAGCAAGGGCCTGCGTGGCTGGGCAAGTGCAGGGCATCACCCAGCCGGATTAACCGCATCCCGATGGGATCTCCAGGGGCAGATGTGCTCTCCGGAGGCCTCCGCTTGTTAAAAGGACAAGCTGTAATAAAGGAGCGGGTAATAAAGCCATGAAAGCTTTTCCGCGCTGGAGTTGCAGGCACTAATATCGCTATGCTCTGTGTGGGTGAGAAATTAGACAAGAGTTCCTCCGTGCTCACAGCTTTTTTTTTCCTCCCCCTATTCATCTTTCTCAACAATTATCTTTTATTTTGATATCTTTCTATTTAAACCCGCCGGAGCACACTCAGAGGCACCGAGGCTGGGGAAGGCCTTTGGCTCTCTGGGACATTTGTGTCCTGGGATATTTCCACCTGGCACTGCCTTCCCGTGGCCCCGGACCGTGAATCCCACTCAGTGCCGCTGCCAAGAGCGCCTCTCTTGTGGGATCCTACATCCTGGTTGTCCGGGATGGATGCAATCCTGGGCCATTGGCTGTGGATCTGGGGAATGTGATGGTTGGGAGCTGTAAAACAGAGGGTAGAGACCCGATGAGCTCGTTTCACTGGTGGCACCACAGCCGGGGTTCCCTGTGCTGCTGCTGCCTCCCGGCGGTGCCCTCAGCTCCGCGCTCCCTCCAAGCCGCTGCCGCGCTCCGAGGTGCCGGGGCTCATCCCACCCTGTTCCCTGTGCGTCCTACTCGCCTGTGAGGAGCAGCCCATGGGAGCGGGAGGGTTAACAGTGCTGGTGCACACAGGCTCCACACGGCGTGGCAGCAGCTAGCAAAGGAATCAAAGGGACACCTGGATCGCGCCAGGATCGCGCCGCTGCTCTGCGGCCTTCCCAGCTCTGCTGGGCTGCTCCGGCAGGGATTGCATTGGGCAGGAAGCAGCACCTGGAACAGCCTTCCCGCTTGGCCTCCCAGGGGCTTCGTAAAGCAAAAATTCACTTAATTCACAATATTCATCAATCTTCCCCAGACGGGGGGGCACCTACATCTGCCCGCCTGCTAATCTGCCACAGCAGTGCCAGCTCCGGATTCCCTGCTTTGGAGGTGGCTCGATCGCTATCGCTCCTAAATCCGCATGAAAATGCCATGGAAGTGCTACAAATAACCCCGATTATCTGCAGCCTCCTGGCGCTCCTCCCTGTGGATAGCAAGCTGCGGTGCTCCCTCCGGCCGTGCAATCCCCACCCCGGGGCCTCCGGATCCGAAAGGCTCTGGAAAACCACCCTAGCTTCCCCAATCCATGCGGAAGGGAGCTGCAAGGGGCAGCGCTGGTGCCTACAGGATAAAGCGAGCAGAGGGGGTTAAATCGGGAGCTGGGGAGTGGGACGGGAGCGGAAGGAGGCCGGCAGCACTGCCGAATGATGCGTGGCGGCGGGAGCGGGGCCCTTATCTGTGCGGCCACCGGGCTTGCCGCTCTACCTGCCGCGCGTGCTCGCTCCGGCTTTATCTTCGCTCCCAGCTTGTAATTCAGCCCCAATATCAGAGCGAGCTGGGAGATTAATTTTCTCCTTTTTTGCATGGCAAAGGGAGCGGCGGGGGGGCCATGCTCTCACTCCGCACTCCCAGCTGCTTAATCTACTGAAGGAGGAGGTGAC